GCATTCCTAATTAATCAATTAAATCTATTTAGTATGTATAGTGGCTCAGGTAAGAAAATCACCTGTAGGCTTCCCCCTCCAAAACTTTGTCCAGGATGTAAAAGGAAAACTCTTTGAGCACGGCTTTCTGATGAGATCTGCCATTTGACATATGGATTCCTCCTGCGCTCGACTATTTCGTTCTATTCTCCTTCTCCAACTTTCTGTCTATCAGTAATTTGCTAACATTTGAGGCTACTGAGCATATCTAGGCCTAATCTTTCTCTCCCCCATCTCTCCCCTCACCAAAAATTTGATCCTGCACATCTTGCGGTTTCACAGAACTTTTCTCCTCTGCAGGGGTAGTAACTTTTGCCTGCCAAGATATTCACTGTGGGGAGAACCACTGGTAATAGTATATGGAAATACAGAGAATCTGTTTCTCTGTGTGTGAGTGAGTGGGGGAGAATATTGGCAGTAATGCTTGGAGAAGATCTGTCTGTGTTTCCATCAGCCACGCTTCTCACGTGGATCTGTCTGCCTTGCACACCCTCCAGGACCCAGAGCCAAGAAGGGGCCTCCCCACTCTTCCTGCCAGTGTCTAGGTCTAAAGGGGAGGGGAATTGCCTCTTCCTGTCAGGGATATAAAACTCAAGCTTGGCTGACTGCAAGTCTGTATTTTCCTTCCCCTTTGCCAGAAAGTGGCAAAAGAGAGAGAGGTTTGCGTGTGCATTGGGCCTGGGGTAGTGGTGGAATTTGGGATCTTTGTGCCTCCACCTTTTTTTACAAAATAGTTTCTTTTGACTCATGTTTCAGTTAGGGGGGGAGGGAGAATCCCAGAAAGCAACCTGGTTCTTGACTTTGAACTTCTTTGTGGGAAGAGGACCACTTGCCTCCGTGTGTGTATGTGTGTGTGGTGTGTGGTTTGGTGTGGTGGTGTGTATGTGGAGGGGAGGGCTCTTGGGGAAAGGATATCCCTCCCCCCAGGGCACAACACCTGTTTTGCATGTAGAAGTGCTGGAGTATTGCTTTGCCTTCCAGTTAAACAATCTGAAATGGCGGACGGTTCCTTAAGAGCTTTCTATATCAAGAACTGAGCTGCCTAATTGGGAACAGTAAAGTCTGCAACAGCCCAATTCAGAGTTGACAAAATACATTCAGTCCCTGACTTAGCACCATTTGTTACTCATTGTTCGAAGTTTTTATAGCGGCACTGAAAAATGTACAACAGGTCCTAGCACTTACAACTATTGCAGCACCCCCACAGATATGTGATCAAAATTGGGGTCCTTGGCAATCGCCATTTATTTATGAAGGTTGCAGCATCCCTGGGTCTTGTGATTGCCATGTTGCATCTTTCCAGACAGCTTCTGGCAAGCAAAGTCAATACATTACAGTAGCAGAGTTGGAAGGGACCTTGGAGGTCTTCTAGTCCAACCCCCTGCCTAGGCAGGAAACCTTATACCGTTTCAGACAAATGACTATCCAACATCTTAAAGACTTCCAGTGTTGGGGCATTCACAACTTCTGGAGGCAAGCTGTTCCACTGATTAATTGTTCTAACTGTCAGGAAATTCCTCCTCATTTCTAAGTTGCTTCTCTCCTGGATGAGTTTCCACCCATTGCTTCTTGTTCTTCCCTCAGGTGCTTTGGAGAATAGTTTGACTCCCTCTTTTTTGTGGCAACCCCTGAGATATTGGAACACTGCTATCATACGCTGTCTCCCCTAGTCCTTCTTTTCATTAAACTAGACATACCCAATTCCTGCCACCGTTCTTCATATGTTTTAGTCTCCAGTCCCCTAATCATGTTTGTTGCTCTTCTCTGCACTCTTTCTAGAGTCTCCACAGCTTTTTACATCGTGACAACCAAAACTGAATGCGGTATTCCAAGTATGGCTTTACCAAGGCATTATAAAGTGGTATTAACACTTGACATAATCTTGATTCTATCCCTCTGTTTATGCAGCCTAGAACTGTATTGGCTTTTTTGACAGCTGCTGCACACTGCTGGCTCATATTTAAATGATTGTCCACTAGGATTCCAAGATCCCTCTCACAGTTGCTACTATTGAGCAAGGTACCACCTATACAGTATCTGTGCATTTTGTTTTTCTTGCCTAAATGTAGAACCTTACCAGTGGTGGGTTTTTAAGAAACCCTATTCTGTGGGTGTGGCCTATTTTGTGGGCGTGGCTTGGCAGTCATATGACTGGGCAGGTATGGGCAACTTGACATCACTCATGCACACTCAGTCACATGACCACCACCCCCAAGCCATGTGGCAAAAATTTTTGGGACTCCTATGAAGGGGGGCGGGGAAGAGAGTGGAAAACCTCCCAAAAATAGACAACTGGAGGATTAAGGGCCGAAATTAGGGAGATTGGAGAAGGCAGGACAGAGAGGAATCCAGTAGAAAGCTATCACATGCTGGTGAAAGAACTTTGGGAGAACGGAGGAGTCATGTCGGAGAGGAATCCAGGAGAAAACTGCTGAGCTTGCCACTGCTGTCTGGTGGATTGTGCCGCTGGACCTCTCCATGCTTCTCCGTTCACCACCTCCACTCCCAGGTATGGGACTTGACACCGAATTGGGCTAGGATAGTGCGGACGGGCGGGGGGAGCGAGCGATGGAGCGGCTTCCAGAGAGGCAGGGATGAAGAGGAGCGACAGGGCCGGGGCAGGCGTTCCGGAAGTTACTTCCGGGTCCACCAGTTGAACCTCCTCTCACTGGATCGGTAAATTTTACCATCTGGTTCTCCCAATCCAGTGCAAACCGGCAGAAACCCACCACTTAACCTGACTCTCTTTACCATTGAATTTCATTTTGTTAGATAGTGCCCAATGCTCAAGTTTGTCAAGATCCTCCTGTATATTGAGCCTATCAATGGGATTCTCTTAATGACCTCGCGTTCAGTAGCCGCATGATTCATGTAATAAATCCCAATTCTGGTTGTAAGTTGCAAATTCTCAGTTCCTTCATCAGAGGTTAAAACACAAGGACACCACTAAAACTGGAAGAAAACTTGTAACTGATGTTTAAGCCATGCCAAAAGTAGGTTATTCCTAGGCTGAATTAAAAACCTTTCTGTGCAGACATGGCTTAACCATTGGTCATACTGTTACCTACAATGTTTTTTAAGCACTGCCTGATGAAAAGGTTCTTGAAACTTGAAAGGTTGCTCATGCTTTCTGAACCTTTGAGTTGGCTCAAGCACGCTGGTTAGTACAGATTCAATTGGTTTAATAATAAAATATTTCTTTATTACAGATTTTTTTCTCTTACGACCAGCATGACTACATTTGTTTCAGGAATATTACTGGGGATAGATTATTCACAAGTAATCCAGTTACCTGAATTATTGGCTTGAATCCCCTAAATGCTGTTTTTATTTCTGTATATCCCTGATATGCTGCATATACCTGCCTGTAACTTCTGTAGCCACAGTTAAGGAGTCTGTATTTATCTCTGCTAGATTAAAGGACACTCAAACTGAATTTTAGTTCAACATTTCTTATTTTGAAAGGTGCTGGTATTGAAGTACTCCAGTCTCCCATGCAAGGGTGGACACCTGCATTTTGCAGCCTAAAACATAAAAATAATTGCACTTCCTTCTTTCACCAAATAGGGTGCTTAGTTACTCAAGAGTGATTCTGTTATTTCTAAAAACATGGCAAAATAATAACAAGCGTTCCTTCCTCCCCCAAACAAAATGGTACATAACAAACATATTTAAATGAGCTGATTTTTTTTTTAAAAAAAAATTCAAACCAGCTGCTTGAAGTTGCTCTCTTACTATTTCCTAATGGCAAAACTAGTTCTATTAGAGTAAAGGGTCCTTTAAATTTTTTGCAATTTCTTTAAACCCTTGCTGATGAATATTAGGTAAGGTTTTGAAATAATGGACATACAGAAAGGACTGCTGCTACATAATGACTCCATATGTCCCCTTCCATTCACCACCAGGCAGTTTCACCAGATAGTGGTAAAATGTACAAAATAAGTCAAGATTAACAGTGGTTTTGCTTCCCTCTTTCAAAGGAGCTTTTGGAAGTGTGATTGCTACAGAAGAGAAGCACACATTTTCATGCCCTTAGTTTAATAAGATTTTCTTTGTCTAATTGTCACATCAAGGCCCAGCGTAACTTTGTAGATTTTGGAATGCTCAAGAACAAAGAAGCAACCAGGAATGATTTAATAAAATTATTTAATCTGGACGCGGAAGCAAGGCAAGGATGCATAGTTCTTGTGATTTCCCTGCAGCGTCTTCCAGGGTGAGATTTGAATTCAGGGTTATGCCTCTGAAAAAAATGATAGTGACTCTTTAGCAGGTACACTGGTAGGTTTAAGACACAATGGCTCTTGCTATTGCCTCCTCCTCCCTCCCTCCTTCTCCCTCTCTCCCTCTCTGTCTTCCCTCTCTCTCTCCTCCCCCCAATTTCCTTTGCTGGGTGGAGCTGCGGAAGGAATGAGCTCACAGCTGCTAATGTATTCCAGATGGAACCTCCGCTCTCCATACTCCTTGGCGTCTCTCCAACCGTTTTCATTCTTGCTGCCCCCTCATGCCCTCTGCTCTTTTTACACACTGCCGGTCTCTGTGCACATTGCCCTGAGCAATTTCCTGGCTGCCCCTTGTTCCTTTTGACACATCACTAGGGGGCAGTGGTCTTCCTCCAGGCATAAAATGTGACCAGTTGCTCATTGCTGCAGGTAACCATAACAACCTGGCTCTTCCCTTTAATTGGCTGAGCAAGGCAATGAAAGAACATCAAATAGAAAAGGTTGAAGGCAAGAGGTCCTAGTCCTAGGGCAGCATCACGAGGTATGAAGTATACAGAAAACCACAAAACTGCGAGGGACATTCCTTGCATTGGGGCAAGGAGGGGAACAGTTGCAATTCTTTGGGAGTAGATAAAGGAAACAGCACTTGTTTCATTGCATAGTTTCAAGGGGATTGGATGGGCTGGTTGGAAAGCTCTTAGAGGCTCATGCCCTTCCCTTGCATATTCTTTGTTTTTGCAGGAACCTGAGCCTGTGGAAGAATGTGTCCAGAGCACACTGGCTGCCTTGTACCCTCCTTTCGAAGCCACGGCTCCCACCCTTCTGAGTCAGGTCTTCGAAGTGCTGGAGAGGACGTACCAACACGATGCACTGCGCTACACCCTTGACTTCCTTGTTCCTGCCAAGCACATCTTGGCTCGCATCCAGAGTGAAGCCTGTGTGAGCTCCTGCTTTGGTTTGGCTCTCTGTTCGTCTGGAGTACTTCTGAACAGGAAATCTAGCTTGGCAGTGTTGGGCAATAGAGAAATAATCAATGCTGGTGCCAGAATCCCATAGTGGCTCTCTGTGTGAAAGTTAGCTAGGACATCGGTGGCCTTCCAGAGGGTGTTGAATTCCATCCCCCAACAATTCCCATAAGTGTTACCCAATAAATACCTGGAGGGCCACAGCTTATCTAATCCAAATTTAAGTATAGGAAATTTTTCTTTAGTTCCTGGGTATTTTTTAAATTTTAATTCTGTAGATAATTGCTTGACTTATAGCCATAGTTGAGCCCAGAATTTTGTTTGTAAATTTTGGTCATAACTTGAGTCACCATGAGACTAGACTTGATTTTATGATCATTTTTATGATGGTCAGTAAGTGAGCCATCATAGTTGTTCAGTGAATTGTGTGGTTGTAACTCCAAATCCAGCTGATCGAATGGGGGGGGGGGATGTGATCCCATGCTGTAACTGATTGTAAATGTGAGCCGGTTGCCAACTGCCCAAAATACAGTCACAAAACCAGGAGTAGTGTGGCAGTCATAACCTTCAGGAGTACCTTTTTTCGAATTTGTCATAGCTTGATAAATTACTGGTAGTAAGTCAAGGACTATTATATCACGTTCCCACATTTTCTTAACTCTTTCATAAATAAACTTATATGGCAAGCAAGCATTAGCAAAGTGGATTTGGGGTGGGATATATAGATGTCAAGGAGTGTCTTAAAAATGTTATTAGATTTCCCCCGCCCCCTACACACTCTTGCCCTCCTGTTATTTGGCAATTTTAGTTTTTGTGTAGAATTCTAAACAAGTTCTTTATCATGGTAAAATGCCAGAACTGAGTTAAGCTAGGAGATGCTTGTTGTTTCTACATGGTGGGAAGAAAAAAAAACATATACTACCTATTAATGCAATATTGGTGTATTGCATACAGGAAGTCCTCGACTTATGACCACAATTGAGCCCAAAATTTCTGTTGCTAAGTGAGAAATTGGTTACGTGAGTTTTGCCCCATTTTACAACTTTTCTTGCCACATTTGTTAAGTGAATCATCACTGCAGTTGTCAAATTAGTAACCCGGATGTTAAGTGAATCTGGCTTCCCCATTGACTTTGCTTATCAGAAGGTCCCAAAAGGTGATTCACATGACCCTGGGACACTGCAATTGTCATAAACATGAAGCAGTTGTCAACCATCCGAATGTAAAACACGTGACCCTGGGGATGCTGCAACGGTCATAAGTGTGAAAAAAGATCATAAAAGTCACTTTTTTGGTGCTGTTGTAGCTTTGAACAGTCACTAAATGAACTGTTCTAAGTCGAGGACTACCTGTATATAGTTTCCAGTATTCTGTATTTCTTGATATAACATTTAGCTGACTTCCCTTCTCTTCTCTCTTTCCTTCTTCCTCAGGCTCAGTATAGTGGCTTCGTCTTTTGCCATGAAGGTTGGCCCCTGTGCCTTCATGAAAAAGTCCTTGTCCAGCTGGGCTCTTTGCCGTGGCAACACTTGAGCCCCGGGGATTTCTACTTGCAAGTGGTGCCTCACCGGGAATGTGCTCCCCGCCTAGTCCTGAAATGCCTCTCGCTGGAGAGCCGTGGAGTGCAGGAATTGCCTGTGTCTCCTGACTCCTATCGATTTCTGTTCACTATTGAATGGCTTAATGGCATCAACAAAGAACGTAGAGTAGGGCGCCTGGAACGCTGCTTGCTGGCAGCTGGAGAAAAAGTGCTAAGCTTGCCCTGGGCTGAGCTGGTGTATCCTCAGTTTGTGCACAAAGATGGATTTATTGTGGGGCAGCACTGCCCTACGGATTTGACTCCCGAGATCCTGGGGGCAAGGAGTCCTGGTGACGGACGTCATTCTGGCGGAGAGAACCGGGAATCTGAGGGGGAGTACGTTCACCTCTTGGAGGTCAGTCCCACCTTGCATCAAGCACCCAGAATCCCACAACCTTGCACTGCCCAGATTCAGACAATGCCTGCTCGCAAGGGACATAGCAAAAATAGGAACCGGCGCCACCGAGCCTGGCTCCATCATAAGTCCGGCTGCGGGGAGAACTTTGCTTTGCGACAGGCTTGCAAAACTGAGGAGGCAGAGAAGTCTAGTCAAGAGAAGGGAAACCAGGATGAGAAGGTAGCTCAGCTAAGATCAAATCCTAGCCCAGCTTTGGACCCAGTCTTAGAAAGTCCCGGATCAGTTGGGAACTTGAATCTTAAACAACTGGAGGAAAACTTAGATCCCCTCGAAACAAAACCATCACCCATTCTGAGCAGTAGTGATGCTGTTGCTGAAGACACAGTCCTGGGGAAAGAAGAATTTCTTGAATCCGTTTACCGAGATCCAACTCCTCCTAAGGAAGAGAGCAAGGAAAGCCTGTCTCCAGCTTTAGCAACTCCAAAACGTACCACCAAGGGAAACCGGAGGAAAAAGAAAGGTGCTGGGAAAGGAGCTGGTGGTCGAGTTAAACAAGGGTCAGATTCTGCTAACCAAGAAACAGAAAGTTCTGATCTTAAAACAGGTGCTGAAAAGGAGGAGGCCTTTACTGGTCCAGGAGAACAGGATTCTGGGACCGTTTATGTTAGTACCAGAGATCCAGACAGCATCAAAGTATCCTGTGTTGATATCACAGAATGCGATGATGCCCCAGAGTGCGATGACACCCAAGAGAAAGGTAGCACTGCAGGAAACCAAAGCTTTGAAACTGGAGTTGAAGGAGCCAACAATGCTGACTTGGCTGTCAGCATTGGAGACTGTATTGCTAGTGCTACAGAGCCAGAAGACAGCAAAGGAAAATGTACCATTGGTGACAATGAAGGCAGCTCTGGAGAAGGAAACACAGAAGACCCAAAACTTAATACTGAAGAGCCAAATGCTAAACCCAAGACTAGTGAACCAAGAATTGATACTGAGGAGGTGAGCGTCCAAGAAAAAGAAGTGGAGATTTCTGAAGACCAGTGTATGGTGGAACAGCGTCTCGACAGCAAAGAACCAGGGCTTACTGACTTGCCCAGTAAGAATGAATTAGCAAGTGTTGATGGGAAAGAAGAGACCGTAGACATAGCAGCTGATCAGGGTCCTGGGGAAATACAAAATTCCCTTTTACCCACAGTGGCTCGTCTTGGGGAATCTGTAAACTGGAATCTTCTTCAATCAGGAGTTTTTGCTCTGACAGGTAAGTCATCAAGTGATAATCATCTGGAGATGTTGAATTTGATTTGTTTTTCCCTTCTAATCTTCAAAAAGAAGTAGTAGAAAATTTAATCTCTAATGTGGCAATCCCTGATCTGGATGTCTCAATTGTTGGATTACTCTTCCAAAAGAGTATTCCCTAGCCAGTGTGGCCAAAAATTATCTGATTGGGAATTCTGAAAATTCTAAATTCAATACATCTGGAGAGTTCCAGATTGATGAATGTTTCTCTAGTGCTTTAATGGTTATCCACAACCGTATGGCAGAATAAGTTAAACTGGAACCTGAGGCTTGTTTATCAGTTTCCCTTGACATTATGGCATTCAGATATTCAGGACTGCACCTAACATTCATCAAACCAACACTGTGTGTGTGACTAACTTAGGGAATGATAGGATCTGTGATTGACACATCCAAATTGGTGACTATTGAAAGGAGTTCCACTAGCAGCACCTGTAAGGGGATCCAAAGCAGCAAGATCGCAGGCAAAGAGAGCCGAGGTGGCGCAGTGGTTTGAGTGCAGTACTGCAAGCTACTTCAGCTGACTGCAGTTCGGCTGTTCAAATCTCACCGGCTCAGGGTTGACTCAGCCTTCCATCCTTCCGAGGTGCGTAAAATGAGGACCCAGACTGGGGGCGATATGCCGACTCTGTAAACCGCTTAGAGAGGGCTGAAATCCCTATGAAGCGGTATATAAGTCTACTGCTATTGCTATTGCTATTGTTATCATCACACACATTCAAAACCGCATGACAAGGTGCAGAGGAGGCCCTTTGCCTCCCACAGAGGCCGAGGGAGCAGCCGGATTGATTGATTCATTGATTGCTTTGGATTTCGATTTCGATTTTCTTAGCCGCCCATCTAGGCAAACGACTCTGGGCGGCTCGCAATTCAGACCGTACATGACAGTTGAAATTTAAAAAAATGATAGAAATAGTAAAAAGCTTTACTTTTTACTAAGGAAAAGGAAAGGA